ACGGCAAATTTGCCGGGCTCTCACAAAACCCTTGCAACACGAAAGGACGAAGCGAGGGAACGTATGACAAACCTCTAAGCCCCTACCAAATCACAGGACCAAGGAAACGGGGGGGACAAATGACAAACCTCTATGACAGTCACTAGCCCCTCATAGTTTGAGCACGGAAGCAAATCATATATGACGATCATCTAGACTCTAGACGCTCCCCCCCAAACCCTACAAGCTCGAAGAAAGTGGATATACGACTAGCCTCCAGGGCCCTCACAAAACCCTTACCACCCATACAACGCGAAGGGACGAAGGAAGGGGACATACGACAAACCTCTAGGGCAGTCACTAACCGCACATAGTACGAGCACGGAAGCAAATGATGTATGGTAGTCATCTCGACGCTCCTCAAACTCTCCAAGCACGAAGAAAGGGGACACACGACAAGCCTTCAAGGCCCAACAAAACCCCTACAACACGAAGGGGCGAAAGGAGGGGACATACGACAAAGCTCTAGGCCCCTACCAAATCTCAGGAACAGGAAATGGGGGGGACATACGACAAACCTCTAGGGCGATCACTAGCCCCTCACAATACGAGCGCGGAATCGAATTATATATATATATATATCAGTCGTCTAGGCTCCCCAAACCCTACAAGCACGAAGAAAGGGGACACACGCAAACATCCCACGAAGGAACGAAGGGAGAGGAATTACGACAAACCTCTAGACCCCTACCAAATCACAGGAATACGAAGCGGGGGGGCACACGAGAAATCTTTAGGGCAATCAATACCCTCATAGCGACTGCGGAAGCAAATGATATATGATAATCATCTAGACACTCCCTCAACCCTACAAGCACGAACAAAGGGGACATATGAAAAACCTCCAGAGCGCTCACGAAACCCTTACAATACGAAGGGACGAAGGGAGGGGACAAAAGATAAACCTCTAGGCCCCTCCCAACTCACAGGAACACGAAGCAGGGGGGCATACGACAAACCTCTAGGGCGGTCAATAGCCCTCATAATACGACCACGGAAGCAAATGACTTATGATGACAATCATCTAGACGCCAAGAAAGGGGACATACGACAAACCTCCAAGGCCGAATGCAACCCTCACAACACGAAGGGACGAAGGGAGGGGACATATGACAAGCCTCTGGCCCCTACCAAATCTCAGGAACACGAAGCGGGGGAATATACAACAAACCTCTAGGGCAGCCACTAGCCCCTCATAGTACGAGCGCGGAAGGAATGATTTTTGACAATTATCTAGACAATCCCCAAACCCTACAAGCACGAAGAAATCGGACATGCGACAAACCTCCGGGGCCCTCACAAAACCCTTACAACACGAACGAAGAAAACAACTCATACAAACCTCTGGGCCCCTACCAAATCACAACAACACGAAGCGGGGGGACATACGACTAACCTCTAGGGCAGTCACTAACCCCTCAAGATGGGGGGTGAAAGGGATTATGGGAGATGATGGGGAATGATGATGGGGGATGATGGGGGATGATGCGGGATGATGGGAGATGATGGGGGATGATGGGGAATGATGGGGGATGACGCGGGATGAGAGACATGATGGGGCATGATAGGGGCTGATCGGGGACGATGATGGGGGCCTGATGGGGGATGATGGTGGATGATGGGGGGGTGAAAGGGATTATGAGAGATGACGGGGAATGATGATGGGAGATGATGGGGGATGATTGGGGGATGATGGGGCATGATGGGGGATGAGAGAAACGATGGGAGATGATGCGGGGTGATGTGGGATGGGCAATGAGCGGGTATGTCTGAAATCCTGGAAAAGACAAATCCCGGGGTTTGATTTTAAAGGGTTTTAATTCTTTTTCGGCATCTTAACTTTTTATGAACTCCTTACACCATCAAATCCGGTATTTGATTTTTGTTAAGGGTTTCAAGGATATTACCCTAAACCCTAAACCCTAAACCCTAAACCCTAAACCCTAAACCCTAAACCCTAAACCCTAAACCCTAAACCCTAAACCCTAAACCCTAAACCCTAAACCCTAAACCCTAAACCGAACCCCGGGATTTAGTTCTTTAAGGATTTCAATGATTTTTTGGGCATTTTAAATTTCATGAAATCCTTGAAAAATTAAATCCCGGGATTTAGTTTTTCAAGGATTTCAAGGATTTCATAAACTTTAAATACCGGAGCTCCTGCAAAAGCAAACGCCCCCCTCCCCACTCAGAGTACGGGAAGACCACGCGGATTTTAAAATTTATGAAATCCTTGAAATCCTTGAAAAATCAAATCCCGGGATTTAATTTTTCAAGGATTTCATAAAATTTAAAATGCCCAAAAAAGCCTTGAAATCCTTAAAATATTAAATCCCGGGATTTGATTTTTTAAGGATTTCAAGGATTTTTGGGGCATTTTAAATTTTATGAAATCCTTGAAAAATTAAATCCCGGGATTTGATTTTTCAAGGATTTCAAGGACTTCATAAAATTTAAATACCGGAACTCCTGCAAAAGCAAACCCCCCCCCTCCCCTCTCAGAGTACGGGAAGACCACGCGGATTTTAAAATTTATGAAATCCTTGAAATCCTTGAAAAATCAAATCCCGGGATTTGATTTTTCAAGGATTTCATGAAATTTAAAATGCCCAAAAAATCCTTGAAATCCTTAAAAAAATCAAATCCCGGGATTTAATATTTTAAGGATTTCAAGGATTTTTTGGGCATTTTCAATTTCATGAAATCCTTGAAAAATTAAATCCCGGGATTTAATTTTTCAAGGATTTCAAGGATTTCATAAAATTTAAATACCGGAACTCCTGCAAAAGCAAACCCCCCCTCCCCACTCAGAGTACGGGAAGACCACGCGGATTTTAAAATTTATGAAATCCTTGAAATCCTTGAAAAATCAAATCCCGGGATTTGATTTTTCAAGGATTTCATAAAATTTAAAATGCCCAAAAAATCCTTGAAATCCTTAAAATATTAAATCCCGGGATTTGATTTTTTAAGGATTTCAAGGATTTTTTGGGCATTTTAAATTTCATGAAATCCTTGAAAAATCAAATCCCGGGATTTAATTTTTCAAGGATTTCAAGGATTTCATAAAATTTAAATACCGGAACTCCTGCAAAAGCAAACCCCCCCCCTCCCCACTCAGAGTACGGGAAGACCACGCGGATTTTAAAATTTATGAAATCCTTGAAATCCTTGAAAAATCAAATCCCGGGATTTAATTTTTCAAGGATTTCATAAAATTTAAAATGCCCAAAAAATCCTTGAAATCCTTAAAATATTAAATCCCGGGATTTGATTTTTTAAGGATTTCAAGGATTTTTTGGGCATTTTAAATTTTATGAAATCCTTGAAAAATTAAATCCCGGGATTTGATTTTTCAAGGATTTCAAGGACTTCATAAAATTTAAATACCGGAACTCCTGCAAAAGCAAACCCCCCCCCTCCCCTCTCAGAGTACGGGAAGACCACGCGGATTTTAAAATTTATGAAATCCTTGAAATCCTTGAAAAATTAAATCCCGGGATTTGATTTTTCAAGGATTTCATGAAATTTAAAATGCCCAAAAAATCCTTGAAATCCTTAAAATATTAAATCCCGGGATTTAATATTTTAAGGATTTCAAGGATTTTTTGGGCATTTTAAATTTCATGAAATCCTTGAAAAATTAAATCCCGGGATTTAATTTTTCAAGGATTTCAAGGATTTCATAAAATTTAAATACCGGAACTCCTGCAAAAGCAAACCCCCCCCTCCCCACTCAGAGTACGGGAAGACCACGCGGATTTTAAAATTTATGAAATCCTTGAAATCCTTGAAAAATCAAATCCCGGGATTTGATTTTTCAAGGATTTCATAAAATTTAAAATGCCAAAAAAACCCTTGAAATCCTTAAAATATTAAATCGGGATTTGATTTTTTAAGGATTTCAAGGATTTTTTGGGCATTTTAAATTTCATGAAATCCTTGAAAAATTAAATCCCGGGATTTAATTTTTCAAGGATTTCAAGGATTTCATAAAATTTAAATACCGGAACTCCTGCAAAAGCAAACCCCCCCCTCCCCACTCAGAGTACGGGAAGACCACGCGGATTTTAAAATTTATGAAATCCTTGAAATCCTTGAAAAATTAAATCCCGGGATTTAATTTTTCAAGGATTTCATGAAATTTAAAATGCCCAAAAAATCCTTGAAATCCTTAAAATATTAAATCCCGGGATTTGATTTTTTTAAGGATTTCAAGGGTTTTTTGGGCATTTTAAATTTCATGAAATCCTTGAAAAATCAAATCCCGGGATTTAATTTTTCAAGGATTTCAAGGATTTCATAAATTTTAAAATCCGCGTGGTCTTCCCCGTACTCTGAGTGGGGAGGGGGGCGGTTTGCTTTTGCAGGAGTTCCGGTATTGAAATTTTATGAAATCCTTGAAATCCTTGAAAAATTAAATCCCGGGATTTGATTTTTCAAGGATTTCATAAAATTTAAAATGCCCAAAAAATCCTTGAAATCCTTAAAATATTAAATCCCGGGATATGATTTTTTTAAGGATTTCAAGGATTTTTTGGGCATTTTAAATTTCATGAAATCCTTGAAAATCAAATCTAGGGATTTCCCCGGCGGCAAAAGAGGCGTGCCAAATAGACCCTAAAGGTCCTACGTACATATATATATATATATACGTATGTACGTGTTGTAACTTGCAGCATACACACACGCACACACACCCACACACGCACACACGCACGCACAGAGAGAGAGAGAGAGAGAGACAGAGAGAGAGAGAGAGAGAGAGATATATATATATACATATGTGTGTGGTACTTCATGTGCACATGCATATGCAGTATACACACACATGCACTGTCTATTAAGATGTGATGTTCGATTCTTATGTTCTTTTCTACTAGGTTACAAGACTGGTCAAGGTTCTGCAAGGATCATTACGGTGCCTTCTTTAGGTGGATAGTTGGCTGCCGTGTCCCCGCCTTAGCATGATGTTGTCGTCATGGCCGTCCCGCACACCCAGCGCATAGCAAGCAGTGAGGTAGGCCACTGTGGAGGCGGCCAAAGTGTCAAGCTTGGTGGCGTCCCCGTCCAGAGCCCGGTAAACACGCTGATGAGTCTCCGCATTACAGAGGCGCTTCAGTTCACGCAGCGTCCGGCACCCATCAACGGCTTCAATCAATCCGCCCTGAGATCCTATAGGGTAGATCTCGTAAGTAACAGTCTGAACCGGCTGGCCGCACACGCTGACCAGGTGCTCGCGCCAGCGCCGATTCATCTCCATCAAGGCGCGCATCATCGCGTGCTCCTGGCGCACGTCCGCGAACTTCACCTTACTGGTTCTTAGTAAGGACTGAGGGAATTCGGCGCCTTACATCCCTCAAATTATGTCCTTGAAGGGATTATATATGGGGTACCTCATTCTCTCATTCTCCACTAAGAGCCAGCAGGTCACGATGTAGCGGCAACCACCGGGATCCATCCGGAGCAGCAGAGCTCCCGAAGCAGTTCCTGAGGTTTGTCTTTTATGTTTTCTTCTTCTTATTCGTATTTATTTCTTCTTACTTTTATTCTTCTTATTATTCTTATAAATATTTTTCTTCTTCTTCTTATTTTAATTTTTGTTCTTCTTCTTCTTCTGGTTCCCCTGTTGCTTTGTCTTGTCTCGTGGTGTCATGCCTGGCCACAAGCCACACGAGGAGCTCAGAATCCAGATTTCGAACTCTTGACCTGTGACCTTTTGCTTCGGCCCTGAGGGGGCCCCTCAAGTTGCTAAAGTGCTCTGAACCCACAACCCGGACTCCTATCTGCCCTGGATGTGGCGGCCCAAGCTCCCGCGCCCGCAGCATTCGGGGTTCGGGTTTGGGATACTTTCGCTGGGAATGGCTATGGGCGGGCTTGCTGGTGCATCAGTTCCCGGCCCTGGGTTTGCCCCCCCCAACCCTACTGCCCTGAACCCTTCTTCATGTAGCCCAGGCACGGAAGTCGCGTTCCACTGACGCCGAGCTGAAGGTTCGGTCACCGAGGGTTAGTGGCTCCGGGAAAAGAAGCGTGTCCTGGGCGATCACATGGGGCTGTCATCCTGAAACAACAAAAAGCAAGCCGCATAAATGAGCCATAGAAGCCCTAGCCCGAGTTCTGAAACATGAGCCGTATGAGCCATAAATACCCCAACTTGAGCCTTAACTCTTGTACACCCCAAACCAAAACCCCGAACCCTGATGCTATCAAAACACACACACAGAGACACACCCCAAATCCGATGAACAGAAAGTTCAGAAGAGGGGCTCTTGTTGGCACTGGTACCGCCCTTCCCCCCTCCCAACGCTATGCATACTGTAGCTATATGGAGAAGCAAAGGACAATGATCCCAGAATCTTTTTAAAAAGTACGGCCCAGGGACCCCTGGGCGCCTGCCCCGGAGCTCGAGCAGCCACTCAGCTGCGTGGGCGGGACACAGGCCTTGGCACCGGGAAGGGAGGGGGGGGGGGGAGTTTGGGGCGTTTGGGGGCTTTGGGGTAGGGTTTTGGTCTAGGTGTCCCAAATGTTCCCCTTGGAAGCTTTGAAAGCCCTACAGCGCTTGCTTGCCGCCTCAGTGAGAAGGGCACCCAAACGTGCACCAGACGCACAGCATCATGTAACCCCACCAAATCCCACTGACTTTGACGCACAAGCCTTTCTGCTGCTGGGCCGCTGTTCTCCTGGGTTCTGCTCGTGTCTTCAACGGGTTGATCCGCGGCTAAGGCAGCCCAGTCGTCGGAGTCGTCTGCCGCCTACGAGGGGGCCAAGTTGATTGGTGGATCCCTTGAGAGGGTCTGTATAGGTTTCAAGGGTCGGCAGCGCCATGCCCATGGAAACCACGCGAAGTCAACCTGCCTGCAGAGTGCTACATGAAATCCAAGCGACGTCAGGCCCAAAACACCAACAAATTCGAACAAAGCTGTAACGTACCCTTCCGTCGCCAAGTGCTCCATGTCGTTCTCCTCCCCCCCCCCCCCCCCAAAAAAAAAGGCCCGCCATGCACTACACTGCACCCTAAAAAACCTGGAAACTTTGCAGATGGCCTCGTTCTCGGCCGCCTGTGCAGCCTCGACGTCCCGCGGCTCCGGCACAGCTTCGACGTCGTGGGGAGACTCCGACTGGATGCAGGGGTTTAGGATCTAGGGTTTTGGGTTTGGGGTTCGTGGGCCATGGGCGACGAGAATGTCCTCAAAAAGTGAGGCTTCGACCCTGAGACGGAAGAGCAGCTGAACATCAGGGGGCCGAATGGCCACTGAACCCCGAAGGTCCGTCACCTTCAATGTCGAGCCACCCAGGTAATTGTCCGAGAGATAATTTCAGAACAAACTTGCTGCTATCCTACTGGTATCATTTAATGATACTCGATACGCATCGACCACACACCCGCCCACCTCGGTCTGTGCTTCATGGTCAGCGTCCTCGCCCGAAGCCATGGCGCCATGCGCGCGACCGCCGCTAGCAGGCTATTCAGAGCTGTGGGGCTAAGGTATGGTGTTCGGATAGCAAAAGGACTGGTTCGAGGATGGTAAACTCACCAAACTCGGTCGAGGGCCTAGTGGAGGGTACCACAAAGGATTTACACGCTGGACAGGGTAGGCTGGACAGTGGACAGCTACATCCGCCCCAGACATTTCAATCAAAGCTTCGAGCTGGGCACGAACGGAGTCACGAATGCGACCAGGGTCCCAGGTCCCAAGCCAGCTGGGACCAGATGAGCGGAAGATTGCACAAGTATAAGGGTTTAGTATGCGCAGTTTAGGCCAATTCCGTGCCAGGCGCCTTTTTGTGGGAGTGGGAGCTGCCATTTTTGTTGAAGTATTTCTGCGCACATGGGGATTCTGCAAATTTGGGCGTCCTTTTTTGATACTCTTTACGTGAGGCCGTATTACAATGGGATCCCCAAACGGGACGAAAAAGAAGAGAGACTCCCACGTGCTTGAGGGCAACAAAAACAAACGACCCTAAACCCTAAAGTCCTAAACCCAAAACGAACAGTTGCCACAATGAACTCCCGACCACCATTTCAGTTTAACAAATACTGTAGGGGCCCCAACAAATAAAGTAAAGGGGTTTGGGGGGCTATTATGGTATAATTATTAAGGGGACCGTAAGGCTTTAAGGGAATACGATTACCGAGGGCGGGGTGGGGGGCGGGGGGGGCGGGCGGGGGGGGTGGGGGGGGGCGGGGGTTCTGTCATGTGCTCCTGTCTTTGCTGTTCCGCAGCTGGCATCCACGCAAGTTCACGCTGTGCCTGAACGGTGATCCCAGCTGTCTCAAGTCAGACTAGACTCACACGGCTGCAACATAATGGCTCTGACCGGCCGACCACCGCTCAATTGAACAGAACGCAGCGACTGTTTGTTGAAAATTTTGGCCCGGCGCCAACAAAAGACATTCTATTATGTGCTTTCGCCGGCTAGTCCCGCTGTCGGCACTTTTGCGGCGACATGCGGAGACTCTTTTCAAAACTGCTACGATTCGTCATGAACCGTTGTTGCAGTGATGGAAGTCCCGGACCGGAAGTTGCCTTTTCCGTCATCTCAAAAGGACTTCACGCAAAGCTAAAACTTCCGAACGACTTTGCAATTGGGAGTCTTGATTATGGCCCAGCATCATCAGATAGCCCCGCGCGTCGCCCCATGCGATAGCAGGGCTACTGGAAGCGACCCCTAAGGGACCGCTAGTTCAAAAACGAAGACAATCCTAGGTCTTAGCAAAATACTGCCAACGAGCTCTGCCCAGTTGGCAGGCAAGAGAAGAGGTCGAGCCCCTGAGCCCGGCTTGTAAGACAAAAATGTTTTTATAGGGCCGTGCCCTCCAACCGGGGCAAAGGACCTATGAAAATAGAGCACGTGGGAGAGGCTCAGGCATACCACTCCGGAACCCGTAAGGTTGTGAACGAATACTCGTTCTTGCTTCTAGGAAAAGATAATGACAATGACAAATGAACAGTATGCTTCACCCTCAGCCTAAGCCCTCGTGCAAAAACATGTGGATGGCACGTAGCTGTCAGTGACCTCGGTCAGCTGGGCTGCAATCCGTTGTGCGGATGGCCGCTGTTCCTGGTCAACGTGCCAACTTTGGGCCATCAGCGGACGTAGCGGAGGATGGCACTCGGCAGCGTTGGGCCTCGGTTCCTTACCTTGGGCAAACTCTTTCAAGACCACTTCGGGATCTTTCGATATCTCGTGGAACGGGTGACGCCCGGAGCTCATGAAATACATGATTAAAGCAAAGGCGTAGATGTCCACCTTCTCATTGTAGTGCCGATGTCTGACGACTTCTGGCGCCATGTAGAGCCAACTGCCGACGCCACCGGTCATGCTGTACACGTCACCGGCCACTGCTGCCATCATCTTTGAGATGCCGAGATCTGCGATCTTCACCTCGCCATGTTTTGTCAGCAGCAAATTTAACGGCTTGAGATCGCGGTGAACGATGGGCTCCTCACGGGTGTGCAGGAAGGTGAGCGCACGCGCAACCGCTGAAGACCAGTCCAGAATCTGTCTGAGAGCCGGCTGCCACGCATGTGTTTGATGTTTCCGGCGCATGGCCATGAAGTGGCGCTCCAGGTCCCCACCGGGCATGTACTCGGTGATGCACATCACGGGAGAGTCCCTGTCCAAACATGCCCCAATGAACAACACCAAGTCTGGGTGCCGCAAAGAAGAGAGGAGCTCGATCTCGTGCAGCAACTCTTCCAAAAGATCCTGGTTCACCTCGGAGGCGTGGAGTGCGCGTGACGAAACTGGATCATACGACTCCGAGGAGGTCTTCAGCTGGAAGTCAGAAGTCCTGTCCAAATTCTTCGGGACCTCCACACATTTCATGACCACTTGAGTCCCCTTCCACGTGGCCAGGTAGAGCGAGCTCTTGAGCGTTCGGCTGAGCTCTCTGTGCATGTGAAGCTCCTCTTGGCGAAGCTTCCATCGCGAGTCTGCCGCCCGGCCCCTCAGCATGCTTCTGCGAGTCGACGTCAGAAGGGGCCTGGCCTGCAGTGGCTCCGAAAGTGGCGTAGGCACTGTGTCAGAGTCCACGGTGGACGCGCCACTTGATCCACTTGTCCCCATTTGAGTCTGCTGGATGCATCGGGTCTCCTTGTCGCTGAAGTCTGGCATATCATTCACGGAGTCTTGGCTGTTGTGACGTGAAGGAATCGGAATCCGATCTGCTTCGCAAGCCGTCAGCTCCTCTGCCCTGATAAAACTGATACCGAGGCCCCTGGGGCTCGAAGAGCTTTCCACGCAGCAGCCAAAGAACATGGCTCGGAGTGTGGAGTCGAAGCAAAGCTTGCCGACCTTCGGCAAGATCTCAGGCGCAGCGCGAAAAGTGCTCGGGGAAAAATCAGACAGAGGCGAAGCAGCACACGACAACAATACTCCGCTTAGAACCTTCATGACCTTAAAAACAAGCCATCTCTTGTAGTTTTCCTTTGGGCCTTATAAACATAAAAACTCAACTTCCTAAGGGCGCTATAGGTGAGAAGTATTCGTACTTGTAACGGTATGCACGCAAACATCTGCGTCTACAGAGAACCAACACATGAATCAAGGTGTGGCTGCGCAGCAAACTAATGGTACGAGTATGTCGCGGCGTCCGCCCTCTGTAGATAAGTACGTCGCGCGTCCCCGTGTTTCATACGTCTGGCGCGTGTCACGGACTTGTTTTGAAGAACACCTTCAAGGGAAAGCCGAGCTTTTTGAAGACACCTGTGAGGCGAGTCATCCTGCCAGCGTAGTAAGAGACCTTGAGGACTCGGGCCAGTCGGTTCATTCGTTGTGCTGCTGCACAGGATTGGCTACTCGGAACTACGCAAGGGCCTGTTCTGGTGCAGTCTACTATGGTACATGGAAAGGCGCGCAGCGTTTGGGTTCCGCGAGGATGTCATCGTGCGCTGAACGTAAGGTGAAATAGCTGTGCCTCGTGCCTGGCTTGTTTCCTGCGCACTTGTCAAGCTGTGAGACCTGCGGGTTTTTTGGATAACTTCGGAATCAAACGGGAACGAGCTGCCGAAGGGCGCTCTTGGAGTGACTCAAATGGGGGTTTCCGAAGTTCGGGGTACCTTATTGAGGTCCTTATCTTAAGGGAATCCTCCAAGTTGTCTTACAGCCAAACAGATGGGAGTGGATGCCGCGCAGTTCTAGCGAGCAGACCTGAGCTTCCAAACGCTTCACCTACAAAGCCGGAAGAAGACTTGGTGGACATATACAAGATTCGGTTTTCTACAATGCCGTTGCAAATTCCGCTTTCCGCCCCAGCTACTGCAGCGTTTTGGGCTCATGGCACAGTCAGAACAAGCGGCGCTTTTCTGTCGCCCCGCGGGAGCATTCTTGCGATGTCCTCGGCCGAGAGCTTTGTGGGCCTGGGTCAAAGAAGCAAGCACCCTCATACAGGGGCCTGAACAATTAGAATAGGGTTTTTGGGGCTATTACAGTATAATTGCAAAGGGACCCTAAGGGAATACTATTAGTAACTCGAACACACGCTTGCTCGACGTGATTCAAGTTGGTTGTCATAGTTCGCCTCGAAGAAAGCAGGCCAAGAAAGGTCGGTTTCCGTTTCCCCACCAAGAAACATTTTAAAGTGGCTTTTGGAGCACCCCCTGTCAAACCCTCCCAAAGCCCTAAACCCGAAACTGGGACACCGCTGACCCTTTTGGGGCCCAAAAAACAACTATTAAAAAAGGATCCTACAACCAGGGTTTCTTTAGAATCCCCCCCATAGGGGCCCTTATACCCCAATAGAAGGATCCTTATGTTTATATCTACGTGGGTTTTTGAGCCCCTTCATCTGTGGCCCCCTGCCATTATCTCGGCATCCTCTTGCTTTGCTGGTCAGTGAACTCTTCAAGGGCTCATGGCTACGGGGCTTAAGGGTTTCAAAGGGTTTTGGGGTCTTGGGGCTTGTAAAAGCTTAGGGTTTTACGGTTTCTGGGCTGCTTCCACCAATTCAAGCAAAACTTGCAAACAAGCACCGAAGGTTTTGCACTGCCTGCAGACACTGCAAGCCTTGGGCAAACAGGGCTTCATTGGTCTTCCAGAAAGCCTCTACACACGTCCCCCAAGCTCACTTGCGCTGCGGACTCGAGGTTTCAGGTTTACGGGTTGGCTGCTCTCCAATGCCTTAAACCCTAAACCCTATACCCCAAAAAACCCTAAACCCTATAAACCCTAAACCCTAAACCCCCGAGATCTTTCCGTAGACTGCACTGGTAACTCTGAGGTGCACCGCTTGGACCGCCGACGTGCACGTCCCGTGGCTTGGGCCAGGCGACCTGCCGAGGCGGGGCGCTCAGGCGTTTAACCCTGAACCCTGAACCCTGAACCCTAAATCCTAAACCCGAAACCCTTTCTGTAAAAAAAAATTGTAAAATGTTTGAGGCTTAGATGCATTGCGAAGAATGCTACCACACAACCTTGCCAACAACTCGGTCAGCAGCTCGGCAGTTCGAAGATCTGCAGGATCCTTGGCCATTGAGACTGTTGAGACTGTTGCGGTGGTGCTCTGTGTGGAACAGGTTTTCCCTCAGAGGAGGTTCCACACATGCGCATGAGTGCCGTCTGTGTTCTGGATTAAGATTCGAGTCTTGTAACTAAAGCTGAATGCGCCCTCTTCTGTATGGGCCATATGTAGCTGAAGGCCAGATGAGCTGCATTTTCTTGCGTCCTCATGGTAGGAACAGGGCGTGGCTGTTTGATGGCTGAATGAATGCTGCGCTGCATAATGGTGGACAATGCTTGGCCAGGGACACCAGTCTAGGCTCGTACAGATATGTGGTTGTCGAGTGCTGCTTCCCACTAAACTCTAGGTCGAAACGCAGAACGCATGGCGAGAGTGAGTTTCATGGCAGCAGCGCTTCGAGGTAACCTGAAAATGCATCAAGGAGTGCTCTGCTTCAGCGAACTCCAATGCAAGGCAGGAACGCTGCACCAACAAAGGGTCCCCACCTTAGCTTTAACCTCTCAGCCAATCGTCACACCCTGGATTATGAAGCCTCTCAAAATCCTTGAGGTTTAGGGCTTACACGTACTTCCGTCCAGGGAACTGGCTTTTTGCCAGGCAAACTAACAACATTCAATTCAACACTCACGAAGTCCCAACTGGATTGTAACAGCTTAATTACGTAGTGTATAGTCATTGCGTATTCCTTATATACGCATGACATGAAATAATAGGCGGGTCCTGCTTGCTTGATTGCAAGCTTTCCAGAAAAAGCTCTCGATATTGACCCCCCCAGCCCTCCCCTTCTCCCCATGTTGCTGAGAAGACCTCGGACCTAGATCAATTCTAGATTACGGGAGGGGGGCGTGGTGAGCGTTTATTTACATTTCTGTTTGCTTATGTCTAAGAAGGAATCTATAGTCGAGGGCTCTGGCTCTGAAGCTCTGTTGGGGTGCAAGGTACATGCCAAAACCCTGAACAAGTCAGCTCAGGGTCACTCGTCTGCTTGAATGGTCCAGAGACCCTCTCGGTGTGGTGGAAGCAAGCATCCTGAGAGGACGTGGCGGCAAGGCTGAAGTGCCGTTTATCAATCCGCACACGTACGTGTCGGGAAGACCAGTTCGTGCTTTTATCCGTGCTCCTGCATTCATGATCAGGCACTGTAATCTCAACCCTCCAAAAGAAAATGTTACCCCTTTAAAAGACATTGACAACAGCTCGGCATGGGAAGTGAGAGGCAGGAATGAGTCACTCCATGCTGCTGACGTATGATCTTCGATGCTCTGCTGGACACACGGCGCCGCATCATTCTCTTAGATCACTCTTCTGCATCTCACATCCGCAATGCGAATATAGGGGCATAGAATCTGGTCCTCCTGAAACATCCCAGCGAAGTTATGCGGGAAAGCCCAGATGACGACGAATAGAACCTCCATATAAAACGAATATGAAGAAGGCCTTCGTTATATCCACGCGAAGAATGTACAACATAAAACATACCCTTGTGATCTCACTGTCAAGAAGACGAAAATCTAAGCCTTACAGTCTCTACAAAACAAACTCGAAGGCTTTGTCTCTATAAGAAAAGAAAATGCACAAAACCCCATACCCTAAACCCTAAACCCTGAACCCTAAACCCTAAACCCTAAACCCTTCCTAACAAGATATCTGCAGGTCCAGGAGACCGTGCGCTGACAAATTGCCGAAGGAGGTAGGTGCCAGCCTGCGAAGACGAAATCGAAACAAGGGCTTGGGGTTTACTATAGGGGCCTTAACAAAGCGAATAGGGTTTCGGGGGGGGGGGGGGGGGGGGGTGGTTATTCTACTATAATTATAAAGGGACCATAAGGAAAGACTATTAGTAATTATTCCGGCCCCTCTATTGAGGCTGCAGTTTGTGGAGTTTACCGTATTACGCCACATATCGACCTTAGGGAGCCGAAAGCCGAAGGCCCGAGAGCCGAAATGGGCGTCGTGCTTCAAAGGTTTAGGGTTGAAGGCCAAACCCTATGCCCCTGTACACCCTATCTGAAAACCCTAAACTCTATAAACCCTAAACTCTATAAATCCTACCCTAAACAAGGTTAGAACAACTGTTTAATCCTTAAACCCTAAACTCTTCTTATAACCCTCCTTAGAAGTAACCATGAACCTCCAAGTAAGGCCCACTAGCCTATCCTGGTATGGTTCCGCGGAGAAAACTTACCCAATGACTGGTTTTAGTGTTGGTGAGTGCGTATATGATGTATATGTGTATACAAACACACAATTGGGTGTCTTTGAAAATTAGCACACTAGCAATACAGAACCTACTACCAACACACACACACACACACACACACACACACACACACCAAACTCGCAACTCTTAACCCTATATCCCAAACCAGAAACCCGAAACCCGAAACCCGAAACCCCAAACCTTAAACCCCAAACCCTAAACCCTAACCCTCTTACCCTAAACCCTATACACCCCATACCCCAAATCTCCATGTTGAGGCCTCGTGCCGTCAGCATCTGAGGCCCTGGGCGCGGGAGACCTCGGAGCTTCGACCCCGCGGTGTCCAAGAATGTGGGGGTTTAAGGGCTTTTAGGGTTTTAAGGGTTTTGGGTTTTTTAGGGTTTTAAAGGTTTTTTAGGGTTTTTAGGGTTTTTAGGGTTTTTAGGGTTCAGGGTTTAGGGTTTGGGGTGTAGGGTTTAGGGTTTAGGGGTTTGGGGTTAGGGGTTTAGCTAAACCCTGGGAGCCCCCTAAGCTGCAGGAGCTCCTGCTACGGTTCAGGAATTTTTTTTTTTGAATGTAGGGTTTAGCGCTTTAGCCCCTCAACTCTAAACCCTACGAGCCCCTAAGCCGGAAGAGCCACCCAGCCGCTTCAGGATTGAGGGTCCAAAGTTCCCACCCGCCAAAAAAAGGGGGGAAAAAGGACCTCATGTATCATGTTTATAGGGGTTTAGGGTCTGTTGCTTCGGGTTTCGGGTGGGTTCCCCAGAACAGAACTTACAGAATATTCCCGAATCACCGGGGGGGACCTGGGAGGTCATCCTGCTGCGAGACACCCAGCTTTCACGGAGGCGCCCTTGATGCAACCCTCAACTCTCCTGCGCGCCTTCCCTGCGTGCCAGGGAACAACCCAGGTGGGGGTTTGGGTTTAGGGTTTAGGGTTTAGGGTTTAGGGTTTAGGGTTTAGGGTTTAGGGTTTAGGGTTTAGGGTTTAGGGTTTAGGGTTTATAGGGTTTAGGGCTTAGGGTTTGCAATGGGCTTCGTTGATATCGATCCGTAGGGTGTAGGCTTTGGTATTCAAAGGGTTTCAGCGCAAACCCAGGACGGCCCCTCACCCTCTCGGAATAAGCCCGCCGCCGTGGAGGGATCACATGCCACACCTGAAGGCGAAGTCAAGACGTGGATACCGTTGGAATTTGGGGGGGTTCAAGGTGGCTGTCATGAAGAGGCGCCTCCGGGAACAGCAGCTAGTGAGAAACTTTTGCACGCCACTCATGCTAAATGCGCACGAACAATGCGCCGTAGCTTTCACTGGCCCTCCCTCCACCCGGGGAACAGAGCCTCTCTGTCAGGGCTCTTTTGATGTGGCACTTGCTTCAGCTGCTGGAATTTCCAGCTTGCACGCTGCAAGCCATCCATGACTCGAGGGGCATCTGGGTCTTTGCTCGGCCGACACAATCTTACAAGGCGGCGTCGTGGAAAAGACGCCCCCGGGAACAGCAGTTAGTGGGAACAACTTGGCATGATACGTAATTCCTGCCACGACTGGTTTGACTTCTCTTTCGTACTGTCTTACAGACAATGACATCAGAAAAGATCCTAGCAGCTGAGCGTCCCAGACCTGTTTGGGAACAGTCCCCCTCTGTCACGGAAAAAGGTCCGGAACCGGGCCCGATATCGGAGGGACACACAGTGACCCCCCCCACCAGAGACCTGATGTTCGAGAAGGGGGATGATCTAATTGAAGCTGCCCCTCACGAGGGAAAAACCTTGCTGCTTACAGTGTCAGGGCCCCAGCAGCATCCGGGGCTGCCGTCGTCTGCGCCAAAACGGGGGCGGCTCAGTATAATTGGGAAGCTTTGGCAAGATGCTGGGGCACCTCTCCCTCATCCATGCTGCATAGCTCGAGTTGATCAAGGGGCCTGGGAAGTTGTCACCACAGACAATCATCCCACTGACCTTGCCCAGATTTGCAAGCCGATAATGTACCAGGCGAATTTCGGCAGCAGGTGCATTTCTGACGGTCGTGTGATCCTGCAATGGCACGTTGATGACGTGCACCGCATACCCACGGACACGCTCCGTGTCCATGAGCAACTTGTTGCGCCCACCCTCGCTAGTGCGGCAAATTTCATCACAAGGGTATATGTCAAAGTTGTAGCCGCCCCGCGACCCTTCGGGCCCGGGAATGATCCAGCGATTCTCCGCGATGGTTATGGCAGCATAGTCGCTGCTTCCGAGGGTCTGATCCATGTACGCATTGATGCTCGGGTACTGCGGACTCAGGTCCACCCATTCATCAACGTCGTTGTGCGCGACATACCGCGCCAAGCCCTTGGCCCTCCAAAGGCAGTGGTTCTCCTTCAGGTGGTGGTGGCAGTAGACTCAGACTCGGGGTATGGGTCTGAGACGTCTACTGGCTCAGTATTGTCCAAGAATTAACCCTAAACCCCTAAACCCGAAACCCGAAACCCCTAAACCCTAAAGGGTCCTCTACTGGCTGAGAATTGCCCAAGAATGTTGGTTCGGGTGCTGAGCTTTGATCCCCGAACCCTCTCAGGGCCCCTCAAGGCGCCCCAGTCCTGCGGAAGCAGAAGTGGGCTCCAGCCATGCCCTGTGATGCCTTCGAAGAAAGATCTGACGAGCACCTGGGTTTGGGGATTAGCCCTAAACCCCTAAACCCCTAAACTCCTAAACTCCTAAACTCCTAAACCCCTACCTGTAAACCCCTAAACCCCTAAACCCCTAAAACCCATACACTTACAAACCCATAAACCCCTAAACCCTGAACCCTAAAGGTTCAGGGCTCCCAGAGTCCCAAGTCGACTCCGTTAACCCTAAGAAAGATCACAAAGTAAGTGCACCCACTGAAGATCTTAGGCACCAGCTTGTGTGAGTCGATGTAGGGGCGCAGCATGCTCTCCAACTCAGACAGGTCTTCGTCCTCAAAATACATCAGAACTAGGTCGAAGCCAATCCGGAGGCTGTACTCCACCCAGGTCTTGATGTACATGTCCATGCTCTTGGCAACGTAACGCACCCCTGAGTGTGGATTCCGCCCTTCACGCAAACAGCCGGTACAAACAACGGACTTGATCGGGGTGGGGGAGAGCTGCTCGTGACAGACCAAAACATTTTCCCAACGTGCCAGAACTTTGTTCGAAACTGAAGCGCTGATGTTCATCATCAGCGGTCTCGAAGCCCCGTTTGCAGCAAGCATCCCAGCGCCACACTTGACAATGACCAGGTTGTAGCGATCGTCGCCTCGACCTTTGTAGGTGTTGTTTTGCCACTGGGAATCTGTAGCCGTGTGCAGCAGACGGGTGGGGTCCTCCGGCGACACCCAGAAGCAGGACCAAGTCACATTGAGCGCCATGGCCACTTGCTGCTTTCCGATGATGAAGGCCTGGCCATCAGGGCGTCTGCCCATGGTGTTGAAGATCACGTATGCAAACTTGTTCGACGCGTGCAGAAAGGCGTCGAACAGCAGCAGCCCGGCTGTGGCGACATAGTCGTCCTTATAGTTGCGGGCAATGCGGTAAAGCCTCCCAGACAGATCATGCTTGCAGCTTGTAACATCCTCCTTCTGCGGGACCTGCGAGCTGGGTCGGCTGCTGCTGCTGCTGCTGGTGGCGCCGCTGCTGGTGCTGGTGCTGGTGCCGCTGCTGCTGCCGCTGCTGCCGCTGCCGCCGCCGCCGCTGCTCGGGGAGCCGCTTGCGGTGGAGCTTGTGCCTGCTGGGATGGTTGCTGGAACTTCTGCACCGAACGGAGCGTCAGGTCTTGCTTCGGCATGCTGTTCACCTTGCCTCATGCACTTGTAAGTCTTGCATGTCCAGAGGACAAAGTGGTGTTGGACAGGCCAGAGGGGCAAGATCGCCAGCAGCAGGCCGACGATGGTTGCTACCAGTCGCCACATAGCACGGACGGATTGCTTTCCCCGGCAGTGGGGCTCCCAACAACGCCCAGTGCCCAGGCCCTGTTACTTGTTTCAGGCACAGCTACGGCGGAAATGCAGCTTTGTTCCTCAACTCCTTGAAGCACGTCATGAGAAGGAGTTGCCGCTAGGCAAAGGTTGATGCGAGACATGCTGACCGGAGCAGTTGGTAGAATAGTTCTCTCTGCATTGTATGTAAGCTATGAGAGGTCGCATCCGCCGGCAGCTCCATATGCTGGTATAGCTTTTGGGCCTTGTGTTCGGGTCATACCAGGCCCCTGAAATCCCCTAATATGTGCTTGTGTGCACCTGTGTACCTTGATGGGGGGTAAAGGGTACCTATAAACCCTAAACCCCAAAAACCAAAACCCCAACAGCCTAAACCCTACGCGGGTTGGGTCCAACTTTGGCTGGCTAACCTCGAGCTGCCATAAGCACGGCCGCCTCAACCCTTGCAAGGTACGCATGATTCTGCGCGCCACGCGCGGCTTCCAGCAAAAGCCCTGATCACCCGAATCCTTAAACCCCAAAAACAGCCCAGATGTCGGTATTTAGGGTTCTAAGTCTTGGTTTAGGGTGGCCCAGGTACTTTTCTTTCACCTCCGCGCGCTTGCGAAGGCACAGGTAGTAGCGCTCGTTCTCCTGCCCTCTTGAGCCTTTCTCGCTTTGCCTTCGCTGTTCAAACTTAACTTGGGGGCTCTAAAGACGATCCGGGTAGATCAGGTCAAATGACCCTAGTAGGGAGGTATAGTAGCACAAGGCTCATGATCCGAATTTTAGGGGAATCAATCCTTGAGGTGGTTGGAGCTCTAGGATGTGCTTTGTGGTTTGGGGCTTAGGGGATTCGGGTTTAGGGGTCCAGTACTCCGAGCTTTATGGCTGCTTATACGTGGGGGTTACTACGTGCCCTAGATACGGTTTTTCCAGATCAAACTCCAACTTCCATACTTCATTCCCCTAATTCGAGGAACCCATGTGCCTTCACGTGTTGGGCTTGGGCTACTATTTGCTTAAGAGCCCCCCCAAACATTAAGTTCAAGTTCAAAGCCGTAGATAATATCCCTATCTGACCCTTATATGAAAAACCTCTTTTCTTGTTTGGGCAGTTCTTAGGCAATTAGTAGTAGGGTTCAAAGTTTAGGGCCGCATGCCACTTGCCATGCTTCACAACCCCAAACCAAAAAACCCTAAGCCCTAAACCCCTAAACCCTAAACCCTGAACCCCTAAACCCCTAAACCCTTAAACCCTAAGCCCCTAAACCCTAAAACCCTAAGCCCTGAAGCCCAAAACCCCAAACCCCAAACCCCAAAATCGTTCTCACCATGCGTTCTCAGGCTCTTCAGCCGCTGGAAGTAGGAACCGCCCTCGCTGCCCTTGTACAGTGCACCGGACACCTCCGCACCGCTCTTGTTCGCTGAGGGCTCTCGGGATCTCGGGGTGAACAAGGGTTTGCTGGGCATTTTGTCGTAAGTACCTATCCGTCCGCCCATGAGCTTGCATGAAAACCCTAAACCCTAAACCCTAAACCCTAAATTGGTGTCTGGAGTGCTCTCTGATGTCGTTCCGTGTTTCTTCGGTTTGCCAAGCTTTGGCTGGAGGGTCAGCATTTTGTAAGGCCGGGCTTGTTGTGGCTCAAGACTCAACACACATGCCCTAGATAAGGCTATAGTCAGTAAGAAGAGGAATCGGAATCACAAATAAACCCGCCTTACTTATAACAACCCTACTTAACAGTACCTGTGGTGGTGCTTGGGGCATGTGGGATTCGGGGTGTCGCCATTGGCGCCTTCTGACATCCGCTCACGTCTAGCCCTGGACTCCGATCCCCAAAATCCCCCCAAAGTGCTGTCAGTCAGTTGGGTTTAGGGCTTAGGGCTTAGGGCTTAGGGCTTAGGGCTTAGGGCTTAGGGCTTAGGGCTTAGGGCTTAGGGTTTAGGGTTTAGGGTTTAGGGTTTAGGGAGGGTTTAGGGCAGGGTTTATATGGTTTTAAGGGCCTCGCAGGGCGGGGGCTGGCTTCGCAGCTTGAAGCCCCGCTCCTCGGCCGCGAGGTTCTCCTTAAAGGCCTGCGCAGCAGTCTCACTGCATGGTGGGCTTCTTGATTCGCGAGCCTCATACATAATATACGTATACATATATATATATATATACGTATACATGTATATATGCATGTATGCAAGAAAATAAATGAATAAACATACGTATATAGATAGAATGAAGTGCATATT